CTATCCGTGCCCAGCACTGCTTAACTTTCGTGATCGGACGAGAACGAGTGCATTCAGTGCGGTATGAACGTTGGCTGAAATCAGTGTCTTATTATCCGAGTTTTCAATATCTCTATTCTAATTTCATTTATTCCTCATCTTAATATCGCATGAGTGTAATGATACAATTTCTTTCAATTTTTTCATTTTATTCACTTTCACTCTCTGAACTTTGTTCTCTTTGCCACTATGCGATCATTAAAAAACGATATCCCAGAAAAATAATGTTTAACGAGTGAAGAATAGGCAGTGGAACATCAAACATATTATGTAAATGTTTTCTCATTAACGGGAAATACTGTGTAAAATTATTTCTTACATAAGTATTTGTAAGTATTGACGTATTAACAATAATAGAATATATAATAATAATAATAATAATACATAATAATAACGTAATAATGAATATATTTAAAAACAAAAGAAAATGGAAGAATCAGGGAAGGAAATTAATTTTCATTATGAGAATAGCGAAGAACTCTTGCAATTAACACGTTATTCAAAACAAGAAATTACGAACGCTTTGGAGATTTGTCGCTGTATACTGGTAAATTTAATTAGTATACTAATTTTTAACCATTCATTTGTGATATACCTGTTTTCTAAATTACTATCGCAGATAACGCAGAATTTTATAGAAAGGCTACCTAACGATACGACAGATAGAAAACCACGATTGAGTGGCAAATATCAAAGACCGTAATAAAGGTTTTGAAAGACTTTATTTTTGAAAACGAAAAAGACCTATATTTAGAAAATGAAGATATTCCTGATGATCTCCCTCTATAATTGGCGATGAAGGAGAAGATTCGCCAATTAATAGTAAAGAAGAAGATTCACCAGGTATTAATATATCGTCTTCAAGTGTGGATTTGGTTTTATGTTGTATCTGCGAGGATGCATGAGAGTCGAGCGAAGTGTTGTGAGACACATGAGTGTGTGAGACAATTGCGAGTGTTTTTGTTCAGAAGCGAGCAGACGAGTATTCATTGCGAGACTGAGCTGACAAGTGATATTGATCTGTGAGAAAATGAATTTATAAGTGATAGTTATTATATACATTATTCAATTTATATATATATATATATAAACATATTAATTAAGAATGTGTTATTTATTTAATTCACTCACATTCAAGTTCATCATCAGCAGCCGACAGTTTCCAAGTATATGAGCCTAAAAAATTCAGAATTTCAAATTTTGTATCTCTTGATAAGAAACTCAAGATTATTAATATTGCCAGACAACACCCGAAATGGAGTCTGCAAACATTGCAATGTCTTGGATGTCAAGAACTTCGGCGGAAGAACTACTAACAATGGTGGATAAAAGAAATAGAAGAAGGAGTTGGAACTAAGGAAACATATGAATACATTAACAAATATACGTATGATCGCAGAAGCTACAAATGACAAAAAACCTGTGACAACTAGTGACAGAATACTGCAACAGTGAGCATTAGCTGCTGCATTGCCGTTCTAATCGAACAGCTTTCATTTTACAGCATCTGAATCATGGGTAATAATTTAAAAGTACTCGTAGATTGCCCAACGGACTATTACACGATACATAAGATCAAAAAATGAATTAAATCTATCGAAAATTTTACAAGAAGCGGAGAAATTTTTGTGGGTTTGGTTTTATGTTTGTGTATTTAGTTTTATGTTTGTAGATTTGACGTTAGGTTATATGTACCTTAGTGTGTATGAAAGTCGAGCGAAGGCAATGGCATGAGAGCATTGCGCAGTAGTATGCCTTTGTCCAAGAGCGAGGAAACAAGTGTCCATATATGCGAGTCAGAGTTAACACTTAGCCGACCGATCGGGGAGATCTCCCCACTTTAAAGTAAGTCGGTGCACAACCAATCGGGGAGATCTCCCCACTTTAAAGTAAGTCGGTGCACGACCGATCGGGGAGATCTCCCACTTTGACTTTAGCGACGCATTTCTCTTTTTCTGTTATCAGTTACTTGATCTGAAATTGTTCGCAATTACTTACGAACTGTTTCTATAAAGCACAATATATAATTGGTAAAAAAAATAAAGTTGAAAAAGTCTAGAAACAACAATGAAAATTACTTTATTACCTATACTTTTTGAACAACCTACAAAAAAGGCTTTATTTTTTATCTTATTATAACAAAGTTTTAATAAATAAATAAAATAAATTAATATACACTTTTAATTTTATGTTTTGTATAAACAATATGTGAAATCGTTAAACGAAAATGTTACTGAGGCGCCCACACCTCAAGTAATTTTCTAAAACATTTTTAATGTCCACATAAATCTTTTTATTTAAAATAATTCTTTTATTTATCATATTACAGTTACCTTAAATAAAATTGACCACTTAAATAATTTTCAGAATTCTTTTATTTCAAATAGATAATATCACTCGCGTTGCGAAAAATGCGCGCTGGACAGCGTAGTTTGATTTGCCCGAGCGCGGTGGAAATCGTACAGTTCACTGTGGCGCGCGCGGTCGGCTAAGTGTTAAGATAGTAATACTAACGAGTGAGAGTGTGATTTCAAATGCGAGAGTTGTTATACATATTGTTCTACTTTCTTATATATTATACGTGTTAACTAAAAGTGTATATTTCATTTAATTAACCCACAATTGGTAGCAGTCCGTGGTTATTGCAAAAAGAAAGAAAAACTCACAATTTTAAAGAAAAGTATCAAATTCTATAAAATTTTTTGAGGCCTAATATGTAATAAATACGGATCAAACGGGCTGCGAATATCAGTTCAATATAAGCAGAATTTTCTCCTTTATCATATAAAGAGATTTCGGACCTCGTGTACGCAAAACAGTACAAGTGATAATGGATAAGCATAAAAATGTATTTATCACTGCAGCGAAATCTGGGAAACTGACGAAACATCATTTTGCTGATTTCGTAGAAAATATAATATAACAAGTCCGTATTGTGAAAATCACAAATTTTTATTAATTTTGGATTCCTATGGAGGACAAACAGATGTTTGTTATTTTAATAGAGTTTTGACAGATGAAGAAGAGAATTGCACATCAAAATTTGAAATTATCTCCGTATTGCACCTCATTTTGCCATGCATATTTCTTTCGACAAATCAAAAATTTTATTAAAAAATCACAGAATGCCATAGAAATTTTACAAAACAATCGTGAACTTTCACGTAGGGAAAACGTTATCAAAATTCATTCATTGATTCATAATCAATTATCTGCACCAGTTTTCAACGCAATGATTAAATATTCCTGGTAACGAAATTATCCCGCAACAAAATTAACATCTCATAGATCCATATTTTTCAACGTTCCAAGCAACTTTTTGGGAATTTGTCAAAAAATATCAAAACTGGACAATTACTGAATGAGAACGGGTTATTTGGTCAGACAAGATCAAAATTAACAGAATTTGTTCAGATGGCATATCTTGGTGCTGGAAGTAAAAATGAAAGGCTTAAACCACGACATGTAAAGCGAACGGTAAAGCATGAAGGCGGATCTCTAATGTTTTGGGAGTGCCTAACAGCATTTGGTGTTGGATCACTGCACCGAATTAATGGCATCATGAATCAGTACATGTACAACGATATTTTACAAAATCATCTCATAGATGCTGTTGAAAATATGCCTTTTGAAGCATATCATGCATGATCGAGACTCTAAGCACACTGCTAAAAGTGTAAAACATTGGCTCAGTACTAAAAACTTTTCTGTTCTGGATTGGCCTGTACAGAGCACCGACCTCAACCCTATAGAGAATCTATGGGGTTTGATAAAAAGACGACTTTCGGGATTCATATGACTCCCAACCGACTTCAATCACAGATTTGTATAATAGAATTCATAGTCATCAAGAAGAGTGGAAACAAATATCTCCGGATTATCGTAAAAAATTAGTAGAAAGTATGCCAAAGTGATTTAGTGCAGTTTTGCAAGCAAAAGGGTTGTGGACGAATTATTAAAAATAAATAATATATTAAATATTGCCAAGTATTGGACGTGGTGCGAAACCGAGTCAATCTATTGTTCTTGTTATTCCTAAACAACAAGTTATTAATTACTGAAAAAATGTCTTATATTACTTCTAACTGTAATAAAAATAATTATAATATTTATTTTCTGTCATTCTTCTATATTCCTAGTAATAAATAATAATTTATATAAAACTTGTGGTTATTGATTCAGTTACGCTCATTGCTATAAACAAAAGAAAAGTAATAGTTACATAAATTGTTTTAACATTTCGCTCTCTTATGCTCAATAGAATAACAGTACACGTATTGATTTTAATTTTATTACTTTTTATTTTTGCAGCATTATTTCTTATAAATTTAAATTTAAGTTTAAATAATGTGTATGTGTATGTACTCTCTGATTTTGCCACGACTTCAAAATTTAAAGTTATAGATGATACAAATAAGTTCAAAAATATATTAAATACAGTACGAAACAAACAATTTGTCAAATTTGATTAATAAATTTGTCCACAAAGTCAATGAAACAATGAATAAACGAACGTGAAATATACATGTCATATACATATATGTATCATATTATCATGTTGTATATTACTAAAGAATATTTTTTATAAATATTTATGTCGAATTTCATTGCGATATCTTTTATGAATCGAGGGTTATTTAAAAATATCGCGAGTTGTTTAAAAATTTTCGATCCGCCTCAGTATGCGTCGGTCACAGCAGTTAATGTCATGCCGCAATGTCCGCCATTCTTTCCATTAATTAAAATTTATTTAATTATTAAATTATTTAAGATTATTTATGTTGTGCATTACTTCCTACAATAAACTGACAATTTCTTTCGAAAAAACAACGTCTATTTATAGTTATTAAATATCGGGGGTCTCAAAGAAATACTAGCCGCCATGCCAATCTCCAACATCATTCAGAACGCACTATAACGAAATTCGCCATTACAAAACTCCACGGTTGTGCGCATATTGCAATCGGAGATCAATTCATTATCGATCGTCTAGACCTAAAACATTTTTGGGTCATAAAGATCCATTGACCATTACAGAAACGAGATTGGCAACATTTTTACTTACTAACCTTATTATTTACTTTATTAACTTTATTATGAGACCGACAATATCGATAGTAACAATATCTAAACACCACAAGAGCAACTAATCATCGATCATAGATCTAGGTTCTAGAACTATCGGAGACACTAATTGCTGTATACCGAATTTGAAATTGTAACAGTCGCTCTTGAGCTTTCTACCAGTAAAGACAAATCCATTGCGTATAAAGTTGCTATTGTTTCATAAAATCTTCTCACCTAAAGTAACAAACTTTATTATTTATTTCTCAACTTTATTTATTCCTCGAATCCATCCTAAATCATACACCATGCGTGACTATAGCCTGTTCAACGAGTTAAGTCAGTATTATTAAAAAAAATCTTCATATGCAGATGAAGGATTTAAATAATTGGCTAACGACTGACTTCGGGAGCGCTTCTATACATGGATCATTATTATGGCTTCTACTTTTCATGTTTATGACTTGAACAGTGAAAAATCGTAAAAGAAGTTCTTCGAAGTAAGTCAAAATATTTGCTGGTAGATTTTACAAATGAACATATTGCAATTATGTCATCTCCTAAAAAATGGATCAAACGATCATATTTTAATTATAATGACAAAAAATAATATTTTATATATGTATTCATTTACAAAACCGACAGTGATAATAATCTCAACGGTAATCATAAAGAGACACACAGAGAGGCAGCGATACAGAGAGCAAACGACAACTGTATGTACTGCGGAAGTTAGTGAAAGATTAGGCAAACAAATAGTAATATGATAATGTAGTAAATACATAAAATGTATAATATTACAGTTATTATAATTGTAGTATCGGTTATTATAATTAGTCTGTAATTTTAGTTATGTTTAAATATAACAGATGGTTTGTTGATCATAAAAATACGATAAAATATGAATGTGATGCGAGAAGCACAAAGTAGGTATGGAGCGCTTTTTTTTTTTTAAAGAGCAGAGTCAGGCGAGTTGAAGAACCGAGTTGCGAAAGTCATGAAAAAAGAGCATTCAGAAAGAACTGTTAAATGTGTCGATTGTGTTGTTACAAGAGTTTATTTGAGTTCTTAATTCGTGTTGATTGAATGTTATTTGTCTTATTTAATTATTTGTTGTTCTATTTGTGGATTTGGTTTTATGTTGATGTGTGAGGATGCGTGAAAGTCGAGTCTTCGCTCGCTTTCGCGTGAGTGTGTGAGACAATTGCGAGTGTGTTGCGTGATGCATTTTTGTTCAAAAGCGAGCAAAGGAGTATTCATGGCGAGTCTGAGATGAGAAGTGAAAGTAAATTCATTGATCGAAGAGAAAGTAAATTCATAAGTGATAGTTATTATATACGTTATTCAATTTATATATACATTATTAAACATGTTAATTAACAGTGTGTTTTTTTATTTAATTCACTCACACTATTATCATTAATTTTATTAAATAAACATTATTTATATTATATCCCTACATAGTCTTGTTCGAACAAGAGAAAATGTAGAGAATCTACTTTACAAAAATTGATTACATTAAAAAAAATACTATTAGATAAAAAATTCACAACTTCTTTTATAAAAATGAGTTGTCAACGTTCAACAAGGTACAAAAAGCCATAAATGAAGACATTTCCTTGCCAACATTTAAAAAAACATTTTTTCAAACATTGAAAACTTTGAAATGTAAAAAAAAGAAGACGAAATAGTTTTTTGAAAGACAGAGAGAATTATTGTTTGGCGAAGAAAATTAAAGATTCTAACCAAACCAAAAAATGCATTTATTATTTAGATGGAATGTGGATAAATGCCAAACCAATAATAATAATAACGTGACCTCACCGAGAAATGCATTATTAGACAGGTTCTCAACAGACTTGAAAAATCTTCCGGGCAAAGACGAACACCTTGTAATTTACTACATAGTGAAAAAAACATTTTAGAAAATGGACTGTGGGTTTTTGAATAAAAAATAAAAACAAAGATTATCACAAGAAAATTAATTCGTTTCATTTTGCAGCATGCTTCCGACATATTGCGGAAAAAATCGAACATTCTACTATAGTTATGGACAATGTTCTATATCACATGCAAAAAAAACTGAGAAAATGTCAAGTAGTGATTGAAGACATCAAAATGTCCAAAAATGATTGAAAAATGAAAATATAAAATTCACGGCTTTAACTATTACACAACGTCAAACAGCACCCAACGGCAAATATACAATCAATGAAATTGCAAAATGCAAAAATATTTCTCAGGTTTCCCTCGTATTTCATTGTGAATTAAACATCGTTAAAACATCATTAAAATGAGCTAAAATTATGAAATGAGCTAAAATTAAAAAATTATGTTAATGAAAAAAATGTAATTTAAATTTAACGACTTAAAAACTTTATTCTACGAATTATTAAGTAAGATTACCGGTGTGGACTGCTAAAAAAATTGCATAAAACACACTGTTGAGAAGATAGGGAAAAAACTTTTGGAATCTGGGACTTTTATTGAGGAATACTATTGAGCCATTTGTTATAAACGTTACCAATAA